CTTATGTAGTCAACTGATGTTAATAATGTTCATGTAATGACGTGTCAATTTAAAAAAAAAAAAAACTTCACCGGTAACTCTAAACTCATCTTATTAGTTATTGCAATACATGTGATTCTTTTTAATGCCCAAACACTGGGGAAAAAGATAATCTTGCATGCCACGTGAGCATATCTGTAACTGTGCCACAACACTGTTCATTTATTTTCACATTTCCCTTTAATAGTGACAGCCGCAATAGATTTATTTTGAGTGCGTGGGGGCATTTTTACCCCCTGGTCTTGAAGATGAATTTTTGTCTATTTTGGAGGGAGCAGGGCAACTGTGCCTCATAATAACAATGTCTCACAAAACAATCATATCATTGTTATAATTGGGGAAATTGTTAGTAGACAGCAAGGACAGAACTTAAACTAAACTTTCTGCTCATGATGAGAGCGTTTTGATTATTGTTTTAAGTAGACGTTTATTTTAAGAAAATTATGAACATGGTCCAGATTTCAGAAGGAAAGCCCTGAACAGAAACAGTATTTTTTTCTGTCATATGTCCTCGCATATATCTATATATCTATCATATTTTCTATAAAAAACACATTTAAAAAGCTTTCAAGTATTCAAATCTTAGATGTTTATTAAGATCCTTCTATTATCTATTGAAACTCATAATAATATTTAAAATATTAGTAAACTTAATATTTATATATAATCATAATTTATTGGGTACTTTGAATTGGGAGGTGGCTGTCCCGAACCCTTACCCCTAAATTTCAACTTATGAAAATATTGAAATTATTTTTGTATTTTTTTTCCATTGTTGTTTTTAAAAGAATCTTTTTGATTGAGTTCAAAAAAATATTTATTTTATATTTTCTTTGTCAATTATGAAACTTTATGTAAAAAAAAATCAGTCCCGCATTTTCATGTCACTACGGAAACAGTGTATGTTTTAGTCTATTGGCTGAGACTGATTTTAACTAAACCCATAAATTTATCACCAGGAAATATTCCTGTGTCCCTCGCTCTCATAGCTACAAGGTGCGATTAGATAGGTCCTCTCATTTAGAGGTAAATGTGTTCAAAAATCTGAAAAATCTGTGTGTAACTTTAAGGAACGTCACTACCGAACACCTTTTTTCTGCAATGAAGCACGCTTTTTTGGGAGTTATTCTATAATATTTAGTTTTTATATGTGTACCACTGTTCAGAACTGTGCTAGCTAACCATGTGCTGATTAGCATCTTTGAGCTAGATTAAAAAGTATCTCAAATTGTCACTACCGAAACATTTGGTGGGGTTTCAGTAGTGACATCTTCGGTTGTTTTGGGTGTTGTAGAAATGTCACTACCAAAACAGTAACAACCGAAACATGTCATCATTGTTTCAGTAGTGACAAAAGGGAACACATAATCCTCATATTTGGGGGAAATAAACAAAATATTAGTACAATTATGCAATTTTCAATTTTATTTTTTGTATTTTGGTATGTTTTAATAGTGGCAGAAATGCTTTGGTAGTGACCACATCACATTACAGAATTTTAACTCACAAACTAAAACACTATTGAAAATGTGCAGTCACGACCGAAACGGAATGTTTTGTCAAAAATAAAGTATACTGAATTTTCAACTGAAATTTTTGGTTCAATGTGTATTCAAACTAATGAATCCTTAACTTTGAAATCAGTATGATCAACTTTTTGCCTTTTACAAAGAAAAATTAGATTGAAATATTGTTAAAAATGTAATTGTTATTGATTTACTATTAACTGACACAGTGACTACTGTGTAGGAGCGAAGGAGCGCAGAGACGAAGGAGAGTCTACAATAACAGTCTTTAATGATCCAAACAGCGGGTAACACAGGCAGGGCACAGGGCAGGCAGGAACACGCGTAGCATCGATGACACAGGACAAAGGAACAGACAACACTTTAAATACAAGACTAAACGAGGGAAGATGACGAGACACACCTGAACCGAATAAACACAATCAAACAAGGGAGAAAACTTGGTCATGAAGCACATGGGGAGAAAAACACACACAAAACAGTCCTGGGGTGTGACAGTTCGCCCCCCTCCCGGAAGGCACATCCTCGCGCCGCAGGAACAACAAAGGGAGGGTCAAAGGGGAACTCAGGAGGAGGTTCGGGTGGAGGACAGACACCCTGGAGGAGAATGGCAAACAGAGTCCAGGGTGGAGACAACGGAGGCAGGAGCCAGGCGGGACCCAGGCCACAGCCATGAAGGTGACCCACGGTGGAGCTGATGAAGGGAGGAGCCATGGTGGAGGAAGGGCTGACAACTCCAGGGGGCCGACCGATGGCAGCGGAACAGGTGGAGGAGGAGCCCGAGGCAGAGAGCCAATGAGCCAGGGTGACGGGAAGGATCCAGAGGGCCGAGGTGGAACAGATGGCTCCAGCGACCGAGGCGGGGATTCTGAAGGCCGCGGTGGAGCTGGAGCAACAGAGGACTGAGGAGGAGCCAAAGGGAATGAGGAGCCTGACAGAGCCAGAGGGACGAGGCGCAGCCGGAGGAGTGGAGTCCCAAGGCGACGAATGATCGACGACAGACCAAGGCGGAGCCGGAGGGACGAGGGAGCCCGGTGGAGAGAAGGGAGCTAGGAGCCATGGTGGAGCCACTGGGTCGACGGGCCAAGGCGGAGTCTGGGACTCAGAGGCGGAGGCCAGGGATTCTCCAGCCATGCCGACGATGGATACTGGCAGACCTGCGGTGCTCGCACAGAACAGATGGTGGGCTGAGGGTGAGCAGAAGGGCTGCCAGACAACAGCGGTGGAGGGAGCAGGAGGGTGGGTGGGAATTTCTGAGCCTCCGGGCTCTCAGGGCTGTGTGCGCTGCCCACACACACACCAAATCACGACTCCCAGCACTGGGAGCGCATCAGACAGGGAAACGACAGGGCTGGCAGACAGTTCAGGGCAGACTGGTAAGTCCGAGGAAGGTGGGAGGAGAATGGGCATATCCGCATATATATCTGCCTCACAGTCTATTAAGTTCCCTCCAAAGTCCAGCAGTCCCAGATTCACAATAAGCTCACCCTCAGGCATGGTGCAGTGGGCGGATCATAGAAGAACATATGTTTTGTCTAGAGCTTCGTAATTAGAATGATTTCAATTCATGAGGATTTTTTATGAGGATTTTTTTAGCAAGCCATTAAATCACTCGAGACTTGACTCGGACTCCAGCGATAAAGACTTGTGAACATCGCTGTGTGGTTCCTCCACTGCATGGATCTTCATGTGTAGCTTCAGGTGACTTTTAAAAGTGAAACTCTTCCCGCACTGATCACACGTGTGTGGCTTCTCTCTGCTGTGGATCCTCTCATGTGTTTTCAGATCTCCTGACCGACTGAATCTCTTGTCACAGTGTGAACACTTGTGAAGTTTCTCTCCAGTGTGGCTCCTCTGGTGCTGTTTTAAACGGTTTGCTGAAGTAAAAGTCCTGTCACACTCAAAGCACATGTACTCTCTCACACCAGTGTGAATTTTCTGATGCAGTTTTAAACAGCTCGCTGTAATAAAAGTCTTGTCACACTCAAAGCACATGTACTCTCTCACACCAGTGTGAATCTTCTGATGCCGTGTTAAACAGTCCGCTGTAATAAAAGTCTTGTCACACTGAAAGCACATGTACTCTCTCACACCAGTGTGAATTTTCTCATGTCTATGTAATCTCCGCAGCAGTGAAAAACACTTTCCACATTCAGAACAGGAATGTGGCTTCTCCTGCGTATGAACCGTCAGGTGTGTCTTCAAAGCTGATGACCGAAGAAATGTTTTGCCGCACTGATCACACTTGAACGGCTTCTCTCCAGTGTGGATCCTCATGTGTTCTTTAAGTTTTGCTGGTTGTGTGAAACTCTTCCCACACTGATCACACGTGTGCGGCTTCTCTCCGGTGTGAACTCTCATGTGTCGTTTAAGGTTTGATGATTGCGTGAAACTCTTCCCACACTGATCACACGTGTGCGGCTTCTCTCCGGTGTGAACTCTCATGTGTCGTTTAAGGTTTGATGATTGCGTGAAACTCTTCCCACACTGATCACA